AATCCCCATGTAGTACTGCTAATAGCCACATGCACCTGGATTATTCTCATAGAGTCTTCAGCTTCAAAAAGACATTGTCAAACTAGATAATTTTATTCAATGATGTATTGCAGTGATTTTAAACAGAAAACTATCCTAATGTTCAGACAGGCTAGAAAGTGAATTCATTGGGGTTTAGTTGAAATTTATTGGTAGAGCTTCTGCCCCACGTGTGTGAAGTACAAGGTATACACACACACACACACACACACACACACACACACATACTCAGTTTCCTGCCCCCTAATATTCAGTAATTTTGGTTCACTGGATCCATTTTCCTCTGGTGTACCCAGATTCTACATTAAAATAAAGATTTAAAGGTGAAAGAAGTTTTTGAACCATTCTTTTTTGACAAGAATTCTTATTTCTCTCCTCTGGCTCATTTTACTGTCAGATTTTCAATGCAACGAAATGATGAACCTATTACAAGTCTTTGCATCAGGTAGAAGTGAGACTAAATGAAAAGACAGGATGGATGCTAAGAAAACATCACATAACACTTTTGGGAAGTGAATAATTTTCCTTGATGAGGGCTAAGGACTACAGTTACCTTTGGGTATAAGGACTCGTATTTTAGAATGTAGTTATGGATTATAGTTGTAATTTAGTAAAGTGACAGCTGTAGGTTCTCTTCCATGACATGTGACTTCACTTGTTGGGTAGTTGGCTAGGATTCCAGTACCAGGTTTCTAGTATGGCTCCTTCTGTTGGTCAGGGCTTAGGTCCAATTACGGACCTTTGGATTGCTATCAAGACATGATTGCCACTACTGCACCCTTAGAATTAGGCTCCGTGATAGCTTCCGTTGTGTTCATAGATGTCATAGATTGGTTGTTTTCCTCCTCTGGAAACTTGCATGACACCCCTGGTACTATGAAAGCTTAGTTCTCAGTGAAGAGGCTTTCAATTCCATCTCAGGGGCCTCTGGGGCCTGTTTCTGGAGCGTATGATGTCTTCGTCAACAGGCCAGGTTTTAAAAATGGATCCTGCAGGCGGGGGTGGCGCACGCCTTTAATCCCAGCACTCGGGAGGCAGAGGCAGGCGGATCTCTGTGAATTCGAGGCTTGGATCAACAGCCTCCAAAACAATACGGAGAAACCCTGTCTCATAAAAACCAAAACAAAATAAAAATGGATTCTGTATTTGTTTTTTACTCTTTGATTTTTCTATTTATTATACATTCTGGAGAATAATCCTCTATCAGATGTCTGTTTGGCTAAGATTTTCATTCTGTGGGCTTCTCCTTCACCTGGTTGATTGCTGCTTTAGCAGAAGCTCTTTAGAACAGTGAAGTCCCATTTAGCAACTGTTGGCTTTAACTCCTGGAAGTCCTATTCGGGAAGTCCTTTCCGACGTATCCTGTAAGGAGCTGCCTATGTTCTCGTCTAGAAGTGACAATGTTTCAGGTTTCATATATAGGCCTCTGATCCTCTTAGGGTTGGCTTGTGTTCCCAATAATAGACATGGCTCTAATTTCATTCTGAAGATGCATTCTCTTCTCCAGAGTATGTTGTTAGGAATCTTCATCAAATATCAAGTGGCTGAGAGTGTGTGTACTCATGTTTGGGTCTTCAGTTTTTATCCTGTTGGTTGACATGTCTGATTTCTGTACAAGGACTATACTGTTTTTATTACTAAGGTTTTGTAATACTTGTTAAGATCTCAAGTGATAATCCTTACAGCAATGTTTTCGTTTTGTTTTCCCAGGATTGTTTTAGCTCTCTGGGGTCTTTTATAGAACTCTGAATGAATTTTTCACACTATTTCTTCTAAAAATGAGATGGGAACTTTGATTGGGACTGCCTTGAACTGGTAATGGGTTTTAGGTTGACTGCTCAGTTTTACAATATTAATTCTGCTAATCCATGATCATGGGATATCTTTCCATTTTCTAGTGTCCTTTTCTATTTCTTACTTCAGAGGTTTAAAGTTTTCATTGTAAAGGTCATTCACGTCCTTGATTAGACTCATTTCTAGATATTTTATTTTCTTTGAGGCGATTATGAATTGGGGTGTGTCCATGATCTCTCTCTGTGTTTGACTGTTGCTGGTTTGAAAAAAAAGGTATTTATTTCTGCAGACTGAATCTGTATCCTTCCACACTGCTGAATTTGTTTACCATATCTCCTGGTAAAATTGTTAAAATCTTTAATGTATAGTATCATTTTATCTGAAAACAAGTACAGTTAAACTTATCTCCCTATTTGCATCCCTTTGATATCTATCTCTTTAAAAAACCATCTCTTGCCTTATTTGCATCTAGTACTTCAAGCACAGTGTTAAAAAGGACTGAGGACATTGGATAGCCCAGGTGTCATTCTTGACTCTAGTGGTATTGCTTCTATTTCCTCTCTATTCATTTGTATGATCTGGGCTAGTGGAATATACATATATAACATATCATATTTAGGTTCCCTCTAGCCCTACATTCTCTTCTTTATCCAGAAGGAAGTATGTGTGTGTGTGTGTAAGTGTGTGTGTAAGTGTGTGTGTAAGTGTGTGTGTAAGTGTGTGTGTAAGTGTGTGTGTAAGTGTGTGTGTAAGTGTGTGTGTAAGTGTGTGTGTAAGTGTGTGTGTGTGTGTGTGTGTGTGTGTGTGAAAACCATCTATGTGTTGGCCACCATGGTCTTTTAGAACTTAAGGTGAGAATATAGAATCAGATTATCAGTGTGCAACATCATGTAGACAAAACTCACTGCCACATTAGACTATTAGAGGAGGGGTAGTGAACTATGGGATATCATGCCTACTGACTGTTTATCTTATGACCTTGAAGGTTGAGTCATTGTTGAGGTTCTACATAAGAATGAAACTGGAAAAATCTGCAATTATGAACCACAGTGTAAAGGTCGCTTTAAAAAATCAATTTTTTATGATTTCCTTTGGAAATGATAACATTTGGAAGGCTTGTAAGTAGTTTCCCACAAAAATGATTTAGTAGCATCACAAGATGAAATTTTGGCTTAACATAAACATACTGCATCAAGGGTCTAAATGATGATGGAGCACCATGTTTCAAACGCGAAATTAAAAACATTGCCGGATGCGTGTGTTCAGTTTCACAAATTAAATGCTGGAAACAACCGCTAGGCTGTGGTGGCACACCTGAAATGTGAGTCTAGCCTGAGCTACATGAGACCTATTGCAGTAATCACAGCAAAGGCAGCTGAGCACGTATTAAAGAATAATTATAACAATTATGATAGTAATACTCACTGTGACTCACCAGAGTTATTAATTCTGTGGCATCCACTGTGGATTGTACCATTTATTATTTGTGACAATTGGGATAAATACTCTACTGCCCTTGTTTCAAGGACAAGGGGATTTAGAAAAGTTAGATACTGCTCAGTAAATCAAGATGTTAGGAATGACAGGAATGATGATAAAGTCTAAACTATAATAATACTCACACATATTTTCATCATATTTAAAACTCCCAGATCTACCCTTGAGAACTCTAGTGATGTGTTGCAATAGGAAAATGCGACATAATAATGTTTTTGGATGAGAAACTTAAGTCTTCATAGGGAAAACCACATTAGGCTCAAGATCAATTAGCCTAAAAAGATAATTTCAAATATTTGTTCATTGGCTTAGTACAATAATGCCTAGTTAACGAATACTCATTGAGTAACAGACCTACTATTAGATTTTATTTATAAATTAGTTTATTGAATGTTCAGAACTACCCTACATGTCATGCCCAGAAGGTATCAGGGTCAGAATTCAAACTAGAACCCCTGATTTGATCTAGAATGTTATCAGTCACCATGCTGTGAATAGTGGCATTTACACAGGTTCAACCTCTCAGATCCCATTTTCTAGGCCTTTTCTTATGAGTAAACTTGGAGGAAATAAGCCCCTCACTGCCATGCAAACAATATATGAAAAGTTGTTGGACACTGTAGAAGAAAGTGGACCTCAGGAGATTGTCCCCCCATCTACAAAGTCAGTTGCTTTTTGTCGTGTGTCCCAGAGGTACCGATTTAGATCCCAAGTCTCAGACACAAGAGATGAAGAATAACTTGTATGCTTGGCAAGGAAACCCTTTGGATGGTTTTCAGGTCCTGTCATCCATCTAACCACTGGTTTCATGCTGTGAGGCATCGATGGTTTTTATTTATGCCTAGGCTTCTGGTCTCAAGAAGCCACCGTGTGTCTAAAAGAGGCAGAGCCATCCTTATTCACCTTCACCCTCCTCCCCTGGGAGTCCCACAGTAGACATCTGGTCAACCATCTGGTTCCACTTCATTCTGTTCCCAGACCCAGTTCTCTGAGAGTTAACCCTGGTAGGAGTATCTGGCGATTTTATGTATTATAACAGAATATCTCGAACTTGAGAATAAGTTACAGATACTAGCAATACAAGGAGGGAAACCCAAGGAAGAAACAATTGGTGTACAGATAATTACACATTTTCATCATAGCCATGCTTTGCTTAAACCCATGTGAGGCCTGCTCCTTTCTGAACAGAGAAAGAGGACTAGTGGAAGGGGTGGGGAGTAGAAATGGGGGGGTAGAGTGTTGGAAGAGTGGGGGGACTGCGGGAGGGGAAATTGCCGTTGGTATGTAAAATAAATGAAAGAATGTTATTTATAAGTAAAATAAAAACACACATAAACACAAAAGAAAGAAATTGCTTTCCTATTTTGCAGCTATTGACTTTACAGAGTAACTATGGATTTCATAAAACTGTATCACATGTTTACAAGGAAGAATGCTTCACAGGAATCTCTACTCACAGTAACTGTTAACTGTGTTCCTTTATGTACGCACTACAACACCTTCAAATAGATCAGCCTTTGCTTAACTACTGATAAAGATATCAAGTAAGGTGTCGATAATTTTTTTTTCAGATGGACCTTTCCAATCAGTAAGAAAGTAAAAATCCTTCAGATTATGTCATTAGATAGCGTGTCATGTCATTAGATAGCGAGGTATTTTTATGCTCTTACCAGTCCTGGCGAGACTGATGACGTCCCCTCTAGAAGAACTCTTTCAATTTGGGGTTATATCTGAGCAAACGGGATGTGCGTTGGTCTTCTGAAGAAAGTGTCCCAGGAAAAGGAATGAGTTGCCTTCACTAGAAGCAGCCTGATAGTACCCCTCACGGTTTTCTGGAACAGAAGGTGGTAAAGAGAAATAAGAACGGGGAAAACTGTTCGCAGATCCCTACAGTCATGCTTTCGACACTCCCTGTACTCATTTGCCCACATAATGGCTGGAGCTTATGTTTTTTCACATCTCCTAGTTTCTATTTTTTACATTATTTCCTTAATTTTTGAGACTCCAATATTAATCACACAGTTTATGTCTTGCGTTTCCTCACTCCAAACTCTCTCACATATTCTTCCTTGCTTTCCTTCAAATTCGTGGCCTCCTTTTTCACTAATTATTGTTAGATACACATATGCAAGTCTGTACATGTACCTAAATATAACTTGCTCATTGTACATGATGTTACCCACAAAATGATCAAGCTGCAAAGCTGTAGAGCCTGGTCCTAATGCACGCATCTACAAAACAACTCACGTTTCTTATCTTTTAACAAAGATGCCAGGGTAGCCAACAATACTGTTTTACACGTTAATGAAAATAAAGTATCAATAATGCCAAGATTCCAAATAAATTAATTGTGCCTCAGAAAACAGTGAACTATAGTTATGTTTGTTGTTCTTTTATATATTTAACATACTTAGCCTACAGTTTTGCCACTAGATAAAGAGTTTAAAAATAACTATCACAATAGAGTCATTATGACAGGATCCTGTGATGAAACGCCCAGTATTACTTCTCTTGTGTGTGGGGCAGGACCGTGTAAAAGAAGGTTTGCTTGCACCACAAACATTGTGAAACTAGATACCCTGTGATTTCTAAGTAACCAAAAAGTGGGTATCATATATAAGAGATCATCTGGCCAAAGGGATAATTAACACTCATGAAAGTTGGGTCAAGATCCCATGACATTTCATCATGATGTCCAGAAAAGTGTGTAATTTAAAAGTACAAAATATTAATTTATGGAATTTTCTATTTTAGTCTTTGGCCAACTGTGAGTAACTAAAACTGAATATAAATGAGAGGATAATACTGTGTATTGTAAGTAAAGAGTGAGATATTAGAATCATGTGCTCAGGGTTCCTATCACTTTGTGACGGCCAAGCCACATACTTGTCCTCTTTGGGAAGACTGCATATTATGTATAGACACCTGTGAAACAACAGAGTTAAGTTGCCCCAAGTCAAGCTCTTTATAGTATTCAATGAATACTGTACCTATCTGTAACTCAGACTCCCCCCTCCCTTCCTTCCTTCCTTCTTCCTTTCTGTCTCCCTTTTTCTCTCCTCTGTCTCTGGCTCTCTCTTTCTCTGTGGTTCTCTCCTCTGTCCCTTTGTTTCTCTGTTCCTCTATCTCTCTATCTGTCTCTCTGTTCCTGTCTGTTTGTCCTTCTGTATCTCTCTGTGTATTTCTGTCCCCATTTCTCTGTGTATGTGTGTGTCTTTCTTTCTGTGTATCTCTCTATCTCTTTCTGTGTGTCTGTCCTCTCTCTCTGTCTCTCTCTTGTTTCTGTCTCTCTCTGTCTCTGTCTCTCTCTCTCTCTCTCTTTCTCTCTCTCTCTCTCTCCTATTGTTGCTTAAAATATATGAAGGAGAAGGAAGGTGGTGATATTTACCGACCATGAAATGTAAAGCCTTTAGCTGGTGCTTTTAAGAAATCATCTCAGTACTTATAAAGAGATGAGATGTCTTTATTTCTATTTTACAAATAAAAACTATGAATCATTAAATTTAGAATGTGCCAAAGTCAGATGACAAGAAAACAGTGGATCTGGGACTTCAACCATGCCTGTGGGACTATCAATGTCCATGCTATTTCTGGCCCCTTGTTCTGCTTTATTCATCCACATCCCCTACTTTTACATTGTTCCTTGTTTGTTTGTTTTTGGTTGGTTGGTTGTGATTCATTGCTGTTCCTTGGTTTTTTTTGTCTGTTTGTTTGTTTTGTTGTTCTTTAGGCTTCGTTTAGTTTATCTCTGTTTAGAGACAGGATTTTCCTAAGTAAGACTTGCTGATCTTGAACTTGTAATTGTCCAGACACCACCTCCAAAGCTGGGATAACAGGCATATTCCACAAAGCCTGGCTATGGAGTCTTCAGTACTTAAGGGAAGTATACTATTTTGTTTTTAATGTGAATTAATTTCCATGAAAAAAGTTTGCTTGATCCAAAAATATTGCATTATTTCTGTGAATAAATTCAATATTCTATAGGGTGAATCGAATGTCTAAAGTAACAAATTGAATTTTCAGCTAAATATGAAAGAATGCATATATGAGGAAATAATTAAGACAAGAATAGAAAATAACAAAAGTAAATCAGAAAAACAGAACTCAAAAATCAATACCATGGTTGTTTAAAAAGTAACTTTAACAAAATAAGCAAAACATAAAACTGACTGGAAAAAATAAGAAATAAGGCAAAACTATAAAAAATATGAAATTACATTGGAGCTTTTGAAAATATAATAAAATAAAACTATGAGAAACTACAGGCATTCATGCACACGTGTTTGAAAACCTAGGGAAAATAAACAATTTTCAAGTGACATGTACAGGCATCCATGCACATATCTGAGAGCCTAGATAACATGAAAAACTTTCAGGTGAAATGCAGACAAACTGAACTGGTAAGCAACAGATAAAGATGTCTCTACCTATGGTTGACATGAACCAGTAAACAAATATTAAACCAGTAACCCCAAATATTAAAATAATCAATACAATGACACATAAAGTTAAATTCAGAAATTCAGATATTTATTTACCTCGTATTACAAGTAAGTAGTCACACTTAGGAATCTGAGAAGTATGGATTCAAACTAAGTATCTTTCAGAAACATTACCGTGACCACATATGTTTTATGATTAAGTTTAATGATAAGGAAATCTGTGCATATGTACTGCACTCCAGATAAAGGCTTACTTTTCATAATGGTATAAAATTGAGTGAAAGTTCTTCATGGGGCCTTTGAGTGCTGTGCAATTAATTAAATATATTGATGACAAAACAGATAATTTTCTCCATCTGAATAAAGCAGATATGAAAAGGGATCAAACATTTTGATATAAGACACACCACTTTGAAGGTTCTCCAGGAAAACACTTCATAATACAACCAAAGACTTCAGAATAAATGCAAAACACTTTACAATATAAGGACAGACAATGAATTCTGAAATGAATACCAGTAATTCTCAAAAAATAAGAAGAAGAATTATCAAAAGGGATGGCACAGTGTGAAGGGACCACCTACAGAATGAGAGAAATTCTGTGGCCAACAGACATTTAATAGATGATTAATATTTAGAATACGTAAAACCTCCAAAACCTAAGTACCCAACCCCCACACACCCAACCAACAAATGGGCAAATTAATTGGACAGTTCCCAAACGAAGTACATGTGACCTGATGGGGAAGTCCTGTGTATGTGTCAATAAAGCACTGTTGGCCAATAGGGTAGCAAGATAGGTGGGACTAGGAGTCGAGGAGGACTCTGGGAAGGAGAAACACAGGGAGTCATCATGTAGCTGCCATAGGGGTAAGAAGTCTGGACCCTTCCCTCCAGTAAGAGAAATACTTAAATTAACAATTATGGAGTAAATACTTAAATCAGAGATAGCCAGTAAGAAACAAGCAAGGCCAACAGCTTCATAATTAATATAGCCTTCTGTGTGTTCATTTGGGACTCATGCGGCTCTGGAACCAGGCTGGCAGGAAGGCTTGTCCCTACAGTGACCAGTGTGTATATATAAATAAAAATGCTCAACACGTTTAACCACCCTGGAAATTCAAGTCAAACTTACAATGACATACTGCCTTACCCTGTCAGAATGGCTATCCTCAAGAAAACAAAGAATAAATTTTGGTAAGTATATGTGGGAAAGAAGCTTTACACATTGTTACAGGAATGTAAGAAAGTTAGGCCATTGTAAAAATCAGTGTGGAGTTTCCTCAAAAGAAAAATTCAAAAAGCTACATTATTATACAGCTATTCTACTACTGATCATACAGTTAGAGGAATCTAAGTCAACATTCCTCAGAGATACATACACTCCAACGTTAAGCACTGTTCAAGATCATCTGTCTGTCTGTCATCTCTTTCTCTCCCACCCTAATGGAGTTTTAGCCATAAAGATGAAGAAATTATGCTATTCAGAGAAAATATGTGGATCTGGTTATCATCAAACTAATCAAATAAGCCAGATTTAGAATGACAACTATGCATCTGTAAATCAATAACCACATATATATGAAAGTCAAAGTTAGTATCTGGGAAGAGATAGGAAACTATCAGGAGTAGGAAGGGGTAACAAGAGACGCTAAATTGGGGGAGGAGAGAATGTGAGCAAAAAAATGACATATATGAAAATGTCATACTGTAACACAATTTCATACAATAAGTATATTCCTATAATATTTTTGAAGCAATTACATGTAATAGAAAGGGAACTGTTCAGAATGGAGGCATCAACAAGACACAAATGTGCACCTTTATGCAAACAGTGACATGGTAGGTGCAGTTGTATGCCTCTGTGTGTGTGTGTGTGTGTGTGTGTGTGTGTGTCTATGACTACACACTTCCTCTCCAAGTCAGTGGCGACAGAGCAATGAGCACACTTACTATCCAGACTTTGGTTTCCAGTGATCTATCCTCAGCAAAAAGAATCCAGGATCTTGGTGGAAACAGTTGAGTTTGGAAATGTGATGCAGAGGAATAAGAATAGGAAAAGAAAAAAAAAAGGTGAGAATCTACAAGATCTTGTGGTGTTGAGAGCGAGCACAAACTTGGGGGTCAATAGCATGGGCAGAGTGAAATGAATGTCTGACGGCTGCTCTATATATGTGTAATCAACTGAGTAAGTGAGAATGAACGAACTCATTCTCAGAGTAGAAGTCACATGAAAAAGCACAGAAAGAATAATGGGAAAAGAAAATAGTGTTGACAGAAACACTATCAATTGTTTTGAAGGCAAAAATTCACTACTGGGTGTTAGAAGCAGCGAGAGGAAAAAAAAAAACAGGAAAAAATAGGATATTGAATAATCCCAGGCAGCCTTC